CGCACGAATCCTTCGCGAGTCGCAGCACTGCCCGCCCCGCCCCACTCTTCTCAGGGGCCCTCAGAAACCGGCCGTCCGGAGGGCCGCGCTGGTGCTTGAGCCTGGACTCTGGCCGCCCTACTGGGCCGTGAGCTGCGGAGGCGGCGCCGCGCGCCCGAGAGCGGCGGGGGGCGGGGAGGGGCCGGGACTCTTTGACGCGGCGGAGGCGTCGGGCGTCTGAGGGCCGCGCCGCCATCTTTGGTCCAGTGCGGTGGCGAAGGCGGCGGTGGCTGTGGTGAAGGAGTAGGAGGAGCCGGAGCTGGCACCGAGGGCTGAGCCATGGACGAAGAATACGATGTGATCGTGCTGGGGACCGGCCTCACCGTGAGTCCGCCTTCGCGACATCTGGGGCCCGTGGCTACGGTTTGCGACCACCCATCCCCGCGATGGTGCAGTTCCCTGACGGCGCCAGCCCGATCTCCCTCCCATCCCTTCAGCCCCAGCTCCGGACGCCACCGGCGCTCCTTGTCCCCGAAGAGACAGTCTCTGCTGCCATCTCTTCACGACATCACTTCCATCCATCGCCGCGTCCCTTTCTCCCCAGCAAGTCCCCCTCCCGGGCGCCCCCTGCGATCCCCGGCGCGGACCTCCGCCCCTCCCCGCCCCTCGTACCCATCCTGCTGGGCCGGGAAACGCAGCCTGCTCGGGTCGACGCCCCGATGCTCCCGGTCCCGCCCACCGGACCCCATCAGCAGCACAGCGGCCCCATTTTGTGCTAATCCGGCGGGGGATGAGGTCCCAGCGCCTGGGTTTGGGGTTCCTTGCCAGGGGAGGCCCTCGTCCCGTCCCCCCGGCTGGCTCTGGGGCCGGGGGGCCTGGTGAATGTTCGAGAAGCAGCAGTGGTGGGGCCAGTGCGTTCATTCCCGCACCCCCACCCTAGTTTCCCATGGCGACCGAGGGCCCAGGCGATCCGCAGCCTTTGTCCTTGGGCCGATGACACTGACCAGTGATCGGGGAAGGCACAGGAGGGCGCGGGTTCGGGTCCGACTTTGGGAGAAGGCACGGCCCAGGGAGGGGTAGCGCTGCCCCTCTGCCCTCCTTGTGCGATGCGGAGGGCTGCTTTCTGGGGGTGGGCCGCTAGAGGCGTCTCTGTTTCAGGGCCGCGGTTGTTTCCTTCCCGTTAGTTCTCCCTGGCCGCGCCTCGCGCTGGGAGGTTCCGAGGGAGCAAGCCTGGGGAAGCGCTGGCGTTGCTCCGTTAGGGGCCCAGCCCGCGTGGGTAGGAGCTATCCACCAGCCTGGAGCCTGCCGTCCAGGGGGAGACGACAGTTGGGGCTGCTGGGGGGCGGGGAGGGGGACTGCAGGGACTGTCACTTCTCCCCCCAGGAATGCATCTTGTCTGGCATCATGTCCGTGAATGGCAAGAAGGTGCTGCACATGGATCGGAACCCCTACTACGGCGGGGAGAGCTCCTCCATCACACCCCTGGAGGAGGTGAGGCTTGGCCCGGCCCTGCCAGGCCTCTCCTCAAGCTTTGTGGGGGCTCCATGGAGCTCCCCAGATTCCCTGGGCAACATGGTCCTGAGGTGGCTCGCTCTCGCTTTCTCCTACTTGCAGCTGTATAAGCGTTTTCAGTTCCTGGAGGGGCCTCCTGAGTCGATGGGCCGTGGCCGAGACTGGAATGTTGACCTGATTCCCAAATTCCTCATGGCCAATGGTGAGGGGGACCAAGGAGGTGTTGTGGGGTGATTGGGAAAGCCAGGGGCAGGTCACACTCCAGCAAAGGGGCAGCCCAACCAGTGAGACGGGAGCCAGGCTGACGCCGCAGCTCTTCCCCAACCCCCAGGCCAGCTGGTGAAAATGCTGCTGTACACGGAGGTGACTCGCTACCTGGACTTTAAAGTGGTGGAAGGCAGCTTCGTCTATAAGGCGGGCAAGATCTACAAAGTGCCGTCCACTGAGACTGAGGCCTTGGCTTCCAGTGAGTGCGGGTTCCCGGGGCCGAGGATACTGGGAGGTGGGGGAGGCAGGCTGTCCTCAGTAGGGGTGCACAGGCCAGAGCAGGGTGCCCCTTATCCAGGCTCTTCACCACCCAGGCAGCACCAGAAGCCCCTTGCTCTGTGTGTCCTTTCTGCCCCCTGCCGTCACCTTATGGCTTGTTGCCAGGGAGGAAGTCTGGACGTGGAGAGGTGTAGAGGGGCCTCCTTCTGAAAGACTTCGATCTTGGGAATGGTCTTTCCTCCGCCTGTTAAAATTCTCAGGCGTCAGAGCTGGGAGGGCCCTTAGAGCCTGTCCAGCCCAGCCCTCTCTTTGTATAAACGGAGAAACTGAAGCCTAGAGAGGCAGAGGGGTTAACCTAAGGACACACGGTGGTCAGTGACAGAGCTCAGCTGGGAGCTTGGGTTCCTGGTTTCCTGCCCTAACCTGATGGAAAGAAGAGGCTTGTAATTTGGTAGAGAGCAGATTCTCCTCGTGATACTTTTTTCAGATCTGATGGGCATGTTTGAGAAACGGCGCTTCCGCAAGTTTCTCGTGTTTGTGGCCAACTTTGACGAGAACGACCCCAAGACCTTCGAAGGGGTTGACCCACAGACCACCAGCATGCGCGATGTCTACCGGAAGTTTGATTTGGGCCAGGACGTCATTGACTTCACCGGCCACGCCCTGGCGCTCTACCGCACTGATGAGTGAGGGAAAGCTGGAATGGGGTAGCCCCCTTCCTCATGGTCCTTTACACACTTGCTCGCCTTCTGCGCTCTCTAACCTCAGCCATCC